TTTGTCACCCTTTAAAACAGCTGTTTTCTCTTAAATCATTCAAAAAGTGAAAGGAAGAGACAAAGGGAGCATGGAAACTGTGCTATCCAGAACTGATTTTAGCTTTGGCCAAACATCATCTGTGGGAGTAAGAAATGAGGAGACACGATAAAGTGGAGATTCTTGACTTGTTTACAATTAAACACCCAAACCACAAGATATTCATTATTTTGTATTTGACGCGCAAATTTTAGGAATCCAAAGTAGAATTTTCAAAGACTTCTATATGTATCATTGAATTATGGATTATAGTTTGGATCTAAAAAGGAAAAAACACCTTACTGTAAACATATTTGCAGTGACAGTTCTATCTGAAATCGTCTATTACATTCTATGGAACATTTTAAAGACAGTTTGAAGGAAGTCCGTTTCCATTGCGTTTATTTATGGAGTAGGTTTTGTAAACTTTACCGATGCTCATTCTTGTTATTTCAGCAGAATTCCCCAAAACTGCGCAGACCTCACACTGTACCTGGAACTCATGGCAACTCAATGTGTTCCTCTCACAGTCATGTAGGAATCGTATACATTTCCACAGAGATACAAAGATACACAAGAAGTAAACTGAATTACTTCCTATGGCTGGGAGTGCCACTCTTGGCATGATTTGCCTCTTCATTTCTATCAACAGCAACTTCTCTCTGAAGTCAGAATATGAAAAAGCAAAGGGGACTGAAGGACTATTTCTGAGAACAACAAAAAAATGGGTCAATGGAAAGGGAGAGAAGATCCTGTCAGCAGCTGCCTGCTGTATCCTTCAGTATGATTCTAGAACTTCAGTTTCTAGTACTATGGTTGCACAAACATACACTAAATAAGATACGTCTAAAGAATTCTGTGATACCATATGATACACATCATAAATTTTTAACTGTAATTGCTTCCTATAACCATGTTTGCCTTAACACTGTAGAGACGGAAGGGTGTAACCCTTAAACAGGTCCTTATCAGTTAGCTATATAGAAGAAAGAAACAGTTGGTAACATTTTAAATGTGTTGACTCAGCAGTTTAATAGAGCTGACTTGGCTGTACCAAAAGAAAAAAGAATGAAAAAAAGAAAAACAGTTCTTCATAGGCTCTTTCTAAGATTATGCATAACAAATGTAAATGTGTTGTGAGGAAAATTTCAATAAACCTGCTTCCTCTTCTTTGTATTGGAATAGGGAATCATTATTTATGCTGTATCTGCTTTTCTGCATTTCTGAAGCTTATGCCAAAAATAAATAAATCACAAAACATCACTGTTTTTAACTGGCCAAGACATTGGGCATAGCGTCATTAATCACAGCTTATCATCATCTGGTGTGCCTGATCTCTCCAAAAGTTCACATGACCACTCCCACCGAATTCAACAAGGTGGTTCACTTGTCTGGTCTCTTTTGGAAGTTTGCAAAACTAGACCTTTGAGATTTTACAGGAGTACTAGATTAAGAGGTCATTTTACAAGGGAATCTGAAGCAAATAGTGATTTACTGATCATGGGCAGGTGGAACCATCTGACTCTGTCTACTTTGGGGTTAAAAGAATGGAAGAAAGAGGGCTTGCCCTTTTATTTTTAGGAGAGTTGTACTGACTAAGAAATAAGCATAGGAGGAAATCAAACAGAAAAAAATATTTACAGAAATGAGTATTTCCATCATCACTTTACTGCCATCATTGACTTGAAATTGCTGACCAATTGCAATTGCTGACTGAGATTATTATCAATTACTGCTAAGTGCTAGGTATTTTACTATCTGGGAACAACCTCTATTGTTCCATAACTGTTTTCTCTGGCAACACATACTGAACTGAGCCATCCCAATTTGCCTCATACTTCAGCAGTTTCCTTTCGGTTACACAGGGGCACTTCTAGCAAAGGAGTCTGCCCCGGACTTGGCTGCAACATATTCCTCTGTTTTGCCAATATTTCAACTGTTAAATAAAAATTATAGTTGTCATAACTGTGTGCATCTCCACTCGCTTCAGACAAGTTGCACTGAGGCTGTTCTGGGCTCAACAGTTCAACAGTACTTATGAACATGCTTCATAAACAGCATATACAGACATCTGATTATGATACATTACCATTTTATTTTGTTTCTTGAATAACATGCTATCAGTTGCATTTAAACAGAGCTATGTAAAACATCAACAGGCTCTACTCAGAGTTTTATTGCAATTTAAGTGTTAGCTGATGCTGGCCTGGTTCGCACTGTTTCTAACCATAAATAAAAAAGCACTAATGTAAATCTTGCAAACCACTAGACTACTTAATTTCACCCCCAAAAAAACCTTGAAGAAGCCAATGGTTCAGAGCAATGCTTTAGAGTTATCTTACAGGCTGCAGCACACAACTGCTGAATTTTTACCAAAGTTTTTTCACAAACCTTCGCGTACAGCTTGAATTCCACATTTGAAGTTTATCTAGAGACAGATACACCTCTTGTATGTGGTATCTTTGTAAGGGGTTTACAAACTGCAGTACCAACAAACTCAAAGAAAGGAAGGCATGGGAGCATCAACACCAAATCATTGTGATAGAAGCCAGGAACAACTAGAAATAATAGCAGTACTATGACTATGACATGGTTAAATAGCACAATTTCCACGTTAAACATTTTTAGCTACACAAAAGGAAAGAATCTACAGCCAAAAAAAATCTGGATTTATATTATCACTATAATCAACCACAACGATGGCAAGTATCTCACAAGAGTTTTGCAATGTTGAACTCAACCATAACTCCATAAAGTAACCTAAAGATAAAGCCAGCCTTCTACATCATCACAATTTAATTAGAGCCTTTGAAGCCACGCACCTTTGATCCGAGCAAAGTGATAAATGTATTATATTTTAAAAGGACTGTTATATGTTCTGTTAAACACAACGGCAGGGTTGAACCAGAACAGCCTTTGTGTAATGAGGAAACATTCATTTTGAGGAACAGACACAAAATGTAGAAGGGTTGGCTGCCCTCCTTTCAAACGTACAGGTACCTGACTGCATAAAAATTTCTAGAGAATGAAAAATAACACTGATTTAACATATGTCTTTCCCACGAGGGAAACAATCAAGCTAATGAAAGAAGACTAGACACATACTGTTAGCAGAGTAAAACGTTTACCTTTGAACATCCAGCTACCATTGCAATGCAGTATGGCTTGGAGAACTTTTCCGCCTTGACAAGAAAGGACTCAAAGAAACAAATCTCAAGAGTCCAACAGAAGAGCCAGAACTACAGAAGTATTTACTAAAAGCCCTCATCAGCCTAAGGAGAGTAAGAAGAGGACTTCTGCTTAGGAACTGATCCTATCAATACAAGTATCAGTCAAATATCAGTCAATACAATTGACTGATATCAATACAAATATCAGTCAAATCAATTCATTTGTCCTGAATTGGACCACCTGTGGTTATTGTGAGGACAACGGGTTTCCCAGCTGCTTCCACTTCTCCAACCCCACCCTGAAATAGTTTTGGATCCTTTTAGCATGAACATTAGCTAGAGAAGTTTCAGTGTCTGAGAAAGGTTAGATCCAAGCGTATTCTAAACGATTCTCACAATATTTGTTAGTTTCTTCCTACTCCCTACTCAGACTAATCAGCAATTTATCTGTATTTCTGGCTTTAGGAGAAGCAGTGAAATGATTATGAAAATCTGAAGACAATAAAAGCGGAAGGCAGAAATGTATTTTAAAAAATATTATAATGTTAGGTGTGCCAATATTAAAATAATAATAAACTACTTTCTACTCTGATGCTCTAGGTCAGATTTTATGGCACTCACTAGAATCTTTTATATGAGTAAATATGACACTCCTCCTTTATCGCTTACACCTGCCACTACAAACTATTGTAAGCTATTAAGCCTCCATGAGCTCTTTCCTATTATTAGTATGTTTCTCTGTCATTCGGCACAGAAAATTTACCTGCCTAAACACTGACAAGTAGGCTGTAACACACTGGTAGTACAAGTATGTGAATATGAAAAAATTGTTCATTACAAGTGATTATCAGTAGCTCAGTGAAAGGTATCAACAGCAGGGAACTGTGGGAATGGGAACCTTGTGTGCTAATTCCAATATGGAATGCTGGCTGAATGCCAGCTAGTTTTGTGCTGCTAGCAAATGGGGTTTGGGGCAGGGGAACAATAAGAAAACAATCCATTTTCCATCCTAATCATGTTTCTCAGTGTTGTCGCTGCTTAGAGGCTGTCAAAAACACTCCCAGTGCTGAGGAAGACTCTCCATAGAGCTGTACTACTGCTCCTTTTGGTACCACATTCCCTCTTTGATAGGGAATGCCTTAACATTTTGTGGATTCACTGTTCCCTCATATTGTACATCTTCTTACACAGAATAAAATACTTTCTGAAAGTGCCATTAGTCTAAAGTACACAATTCTTGAATCTGTTCTATTAGAAAAGATTAGCAATTTATCCATACAAAAATAAACACATTGTTATTTCTAGAAATAAGTTCATTTAGCAAATGAATGTGATCATAAAACATTACCACTAGATCAAAGGTCAACTGAAAAAGTAGAACATGGAGTTATTAATACATTTATTTTCATACCTTCCAGTCATTGCCAATATTTTTATCTTTTTCAGTAAAATGGACTTTGTAATCAGCACACTGTGGACAGTTTTAACTTAACAATAAATGCCTCTGATGCAGTTTTTTTCCTTACTATATACTGAGAACAGCATGCAAAAGATTTCAGTATCTACTAATTTGTACCTAATTCAGTTCCTAACTTTTTTTCTTCAGCCTAGGGGAGTTCGACTCATTTCTTAGTAACTTATTAGATGAATATCAAATATCCTGAAATAACTGCATTTAACAGCAGTGTTTTTGTTTCTGGAAAAAAGAAAAAATAAAACACATACATTTTTAGTCTAGGGCTCCAGCCCTGAGGTCTGGGTACAGCAATGACGACGTTACAAACTGTCTGGAACACTCTCAATAATACTCACAACAGGACAATCCTTCCTCCTCTTCCTGGTTAACCACTGTGAAGCACACGGGTTCAGCACTCCTTTAGGTCTGAATTAATTATTCACATGGGATCGTTGAATAGGTACAGCAGGAAGAAAAAGACAACAACAGAACAGCTTATTCTCTTCTCTCAACATCACAGGGTCTGATACAGTCATATCCTAACCAGCTCCTATAAGCAGCTGAGCATGACTAAATACAAGTGTCCAAAAAGTGCAACTCAAAGGGGCTGTTTTTAGTTTGCCTACATTCACATCCCTATCAGAGAACACTAAGGGGATGACCTCTTTGTTCTGTTTTTTTTTTGTTTGTTTTTGTTGCTGTTGTTTTTACCAGGCACTTATTGGTTATAAAAGCCTGAAGACTGTTATGATAAGACGCATAGCTACTATGTTATGAAGATACTGTGTGTGCCTTCTAATGATAAGGTGTTAAATAACAATTTTTTGATCATGCATAGGCAAAGATTATGGGCATTTTTAAAAAATAAACTGCAATAGTGCAGAAGCAGCTCATAAAAATAGTTCTTTTTTTCCTCTTTCATACCTCATCTTTGTACATTTTTACTCCATGAGTTCTGAAAATCTGACATAGTTCAGCAATGACTAGGTTTCCACTAATGGGATTTGGACAAGTATTCTAGCCCTTTCATCAGCAATAAGGAAACTGAATGTTCTCTGTTAATCAGCTCAGCACAGTCATTATTTAACCCGCAGACAATGTGTGGCAGCAAAGTTTAAATTTTCAACCTTGAGAAGGCGGTAGGCTTTGCTAACTGCCCGCTGAAGGCAGGCAGAAATCACAAAGACTTGGAGACAAAAAAAAAACACAAAAGAAAAGACAAACTTCTAACAAGAAAAACGTTCAGTAAATCTGACCGACTGTTAAGCCACAAATAAGGAAAACACTAGGCTGCATCTGAAATTATGGATACAGACTACACAGCATTACTCAAGAGGAGAGATAACACGAAAGCTTGTAAGACAGCTGTAAATTCTTCCAGGCTAAAGGAGCTGAAGACATCAACAGAGCAATATTGTGTCAAATCCATCCCTTCTGCATATGCTTCACCATCAGTAAGGAGAGGCATTAAGAGTACCTCAAGCATCTCTGAGCTGCCAGGACATCTCTTTATTTTGAGCTGTTCGTATGACAGGCTGAACCAAACATGAAGTGAGAGAAGGATCAATTTGCACCAGGTTGCAATGGGAGTGTGTCTTCCTCACCTCTGATACAGCATGCAACTACAATTTCTTAGCTGGAGATACACATCCAGAGATATCACCATTCAGAAACACTACTTGATACCAGTCAATTTAAAAAAAAAAAAAAAATTGCCAGAACAGCAAGATAGATCAATCCTATCTATAATAAGATGTTTACATTCTAACACATTTAATTTCAGCCTCCAGAAAGTACTTTGCTATGAAGCAACAACACGACGCTGGTTTGTGCAGTTGTATTTTATTCACTAACAGAAATTACTTAAGATGAGACCTATACAATTCTCACAAGATTAAAGAGACTAAATTAATTTCGTTAAAAGGTTTTGATTTGCTTTTGCTTTAAAGGCAGAACTTCCTTGCTTTTGTGTACAGCCAACAGGGCGCACCACATGGAAATACAAAGAAATCAGCACAGGTTGAGGGAGGAAGCATTCCTAATCAAATGTCAATTTATGTTTCTGCAACAGAAGAAAGTAGCAGTGATAGCTAGGTCTGGCCCTACTCAAAAGACATAGCAGCTTAATCAGAAGTGAAATAACTAAATGAACTGCCTTTTAATTATTTATATTTTTCATCCTGTACATTTTGTGGCTTTAACCATGCAAGAGATTAGTGTTAAAATATTGGAAGGAAAACCTTCATAGAATCACAGAATGGTTTGGGTTGGAAGGGACCTTTAAGATCACCTGGTTCCAGCCCCCCTGCTATAGGCAGGGACACCTCCCTTTGGACCAGGTTGCTCATAGCCCCATCCAGCCTGGCCTTGAATGCTTCCAGGCTGTGGGCACCCACAATCTCACTGATCTACCTGTTTCCACAACTCACCACCCTCACAGCAAAGAATTTCTTCCTAGTATCTATTCTAAATCCACCCTCTTCCAGTTTGTAAACCATTTCCCCTTGTTCTGTCAATACATGCCCTTGTAAAAAGTCCCTCCCCAACCTTTATGTTTAAGGAGCTAGGAAGCTACTTGGAAATGAAGTTTAAATATAAAATCATCATTGATTTATACCTATGATTTCTTCCTGCTTAGTTATTCATCACCAGACCTCACTGCAAGTAACTTTTCCTCTAGCAGCACGCTAACTACTGTATCCTTTAAATTTACAAGTCAAAGAAAACCACACTGCTCTCCACAAAACTCCAAGGCATGTCCCAAGCAATGGGACAATGTGGAGGTGGCTGCAGAAACCTCCACAAAAGCCTCAGAACAGGCCAAATGTGTGCCAGCTGTGACCCCAAGCATCCTGTCACCTGAGAACACAAATCATATTTCAGCGTGCGGCAAAACCAGTTATTCAGGCTCTCAAGCAGAATAGTCTCTGTATGAACACATTTTGTGAATACATGTCATTTCTTATCTGTGAGAGAGTTTAGTAGAAGGAATATACAGCCAGGAATACTCCGTCCAAATGCAAGCTCAGTCAAAGTTTTGCCAAGTTATTTAAACTGCATTTTTGCTTCCTTTTAATACTATAATTAATACCCACACTTCTGTGATTGTACAAGAATAGGCCAGTAATGTTACATTTGCCTCAAATACACATAATCACACACAAAAAAAAATTGTTTATGCTGAAAATATATTTTGAAGTGATGAGAATACCAACACTGAGCTGAATAAACAAACACATACCTTTGCAAAAGCCACACTGATTCAGTCATACCTCAGAGCAGTCTCATACTGTATGCCATACTGGCATAAATCATACACACCTAGCCAAACTAAAATTCAACAGCAATTCCCTGAGTAGAGACGACTGTGCAGTGGATTATAAACAGCCTCATCAAATCCTTCTGGGGATCCATTTCACTGCTGAGAAATCAGACAAGAAAAACAGTTTGTTGAAGGTCAAGCAGTATCAGAGGCCAAACTAGTTTTCCAAACATCTCCACAAAACCACAGCTAGCATTCAGAAGCTTTTCTTAGCCTGTAATACTGGACATGAATTCTGGCAGTTACCTCTGTCCCTTCTCCAACACAGGCAACTCAACCTTCCTTTCACTCCGTGTCTGTCCGGAAAAGGCGCGATTAGGAACATACTTATTACCAATGATTGGAAGTAATTACCAGGTGAGATTACTTTCTACAAAAAAACTTCATTTCTTTAGTATGCCTGAATACAGTCAGCACAAAAACTTTGTAGCTCAGTAATTCCAATTTTCTATCTGTAATGCAAATCTATACAATACAATACCCAAGTTAATCCTGCGCGTTTTACTTGTCCTATTTGTGTTCCCCTTGAAGTGCATTCTCTCACCCTAATGCTAAAGCAGTCAAAACAACAAATGATGCAAGTCAGCTTTTAAGTGAATGGGGCACCTCTCCTCACAAATAGGGTGCCATATGGATTCCTGTCATGAATATGGGATTTCTTTTTAAAGTTACAGAGTGCTTTCAGCATTTAATGGCCAGCGCTGCTGCTGTTCAGGTTCCCTTTGTAGTTTGTACCCCAGGGACACAGAGCTCTATGCATTACCAACTTTTCCCTTATTTTTCACCCCCCATTATCAATCTGTGTAAATAAGATGCACAGCATCCGCTAGTTAATAAACAAACTCTCACTTTGATTACACTTTCAGTTTCCAAGCACAGAGCTGACTAACCACAAAGAATAAATGTGTTTGGGGTTTCAGCGCTGGCCTTGGAAGATTGTTCACAAATACATGATTCATATCCGATTCTGAACATTAACACTTTCCTCATGACTCATACATACAGTTAAACAATAAAACAGAGTGCTTATTGAAGTTTTGTTTAACATGTATGAAGGATCTATCATTAATATTTTTAAATTTAATTGTTTAACAATGTCAATCCTATTATTAGCTTCAAGGAGGGGATGTTTCCACTTCTATCTTGAAATAAATACATGCTTTTGAATTTGCTCTGGCTTATATAAAGAATCTGTCAGTAACAGCTCAGAAAACAAACAACAAAAAGCCATTAAGCACTGCACAAAGGAAGAGTACCTTACCAATGTGACCATAGTGCATTATCTGAATTGGTAGAAGATGATTTTTCCTATATCTTTCGTTATATAGAACACTGTATATAACATGCTGATCAACAGACCATTTCCTCACATTGTTTGCCTCTACAGAGTGAAGGATAAAACAGAGAATACAGCCTTCCTTACACAATAGAGACTTGAGTTGTTCTATCTGGTCCCTGCCTATCAGGATACAATTCCCGGATAAATTATAGCCAATGACTGGCAAATCCTAAATGCATAATACAAATTTGGCTAAAAAAAAAACCCTGAGGGATTATTTTTAAAACTTCATCCTTTGCAATTCAGCTTTCATTTAAGGTTTGCTAAATCATTATAATTGGGTACTATTTGCAGTTACATTGCAAAAAAATCAGCTTCAGCTCTATATGCAGGAACCATGAAAGTGCAAAGTAGAGCTTTTAAGAGTCATATTGTATCTTTGATATATGTTCAGGTAGAATATGACGTGTAGATCTCCGTTTCAAACTTCCAGGATCATTGTAATCTTGGGACACATCTCTGTCTTGAGTCTGTATCCTGTTTCCTATACGCAACTTCCAAAACAGTTTTTACCAATTTGCTCCTATCTTTATACAAGCCACTTCTAAATAACCACAGAAGCAAGTATTCCACTACAAACAAAGTTTTTCACTTTATTATAGAGAGCTTTTTCAAAGGATAAATTCTTCCAAAATATTAAACAAGAAATTCAGGAAAAACACTGATGACACAGGAACATATTCTGCAGATGTTCATTGTGTCATCGACCATCAATGAATGATTAAGAATCTCCCAAGCTTCACTCTAACCCCACTGAAGTTACTCACAAACTATTCACCCTATTGATGCAAGGCTGGCATTGAATTCAGATGTTGGTTCTATCATGTGAAAGCTTTCTGCCTATTCACTAACACTGTGTAATTTCTAAATATTTCCTGACAATTCACGTTCCTCACCAGTTGTGGAGCTCTGGTCTCACACACGTTGCCTTCAGAAGCTGACCTTGCAGAGGTAGAATCAGTGATTTGCTGGTGTTGACAAAGCCTTTCTGCTGCTGCTGTTGGCCTCACATCTGCACACATTTTCAGCATGGCTGAGCAAGGACAGAAAATAAGGGGGAGTTATTCACAAGCAGACACAAGTATCAGCCATTGCACCCACATGGCTAATAAAACAATTCCCGAATATTGCACTTTCATTGAAATAAAGTTAATACTTAAGTCCTGTCCAAACAGCAGGCAGAAAACAGACAGTACTGATATATAAGAATGAAGCTATATCCAAAGAGCAGGCAGAAAACTGAAAATGCTGATGTACAAAGATGAAAAACTGTTCCAGTTTTCCACTCGGGTTTTGAAAGAAGTGCAGGAGAAGTTAACAGTGGAAGACTTATGTGTTTGCTGTGGGACTCAAACTTGCTTCCAGTAACTATGTTTTTCTTCATCAAAACAATATCAAAATGGCCACATCTGAGGCAGGTTTTGCATTGACACCTCAGGCAGTACAAGCAAGAAGACTGCAAGGCCCTGCTCATAGGCTGCAGCCTCAGGAACCTCTCCTGGTTTATCTACCCTCCTGCCCAGCCTGGCACGGCTGCCATCTTAGATTCCATGCTGCCCTAATGGCAGGCCCGGTGTGATCCTCAGTGCTCCAGATTGCCTGCGAAACACAAACTAACAGCAGGTTTCACCACGCAGCTCTTATCTCAGCACCAGATGACTGAAAATATTGAAAGGAAATATGAGCAGGGGAAGCGTTTCTTCATGTTTTTGTGCGACGCTTGTTGCTAGGAAAAATATTTCCTTAGTATCTCTATGGGCTCTGCTAGTCAGCATCAGTGGAGCTCTGCTGGTTGCCAGAGTACAAAACACTGCAAATGTCAGGAAAAAAAAAAAAAAAAAAAAGAGGAAGAAGTAAAGCTTTAAGAATGTGCCCCTTTATGAATGTCCATCCCCTCAGCACTGCTCTTCACACGGTCAATAAACAGACACGCATCTGCTTTCCTGGCTGGGACAAATCTTGAGAGCTTCTTCCCAATGTATTTTGTCTAAGCAGTCATATTTTTGGGCCTGGTTTTTAAAAAGCTTGGAAGCAATTATTTGTATCATGGTACCACATGGTGGATCACAGCCTGAATGCAGCGTGAACAAGCAAGCTGAGGCCTCAAGAAGCCTGCATTTTACACTGGCAAAAGAGAAAGGGGGGGAAGGGAAAGTGGGTCACTGAGGGGCAGAACAGCTCATCCCTAGTTGCAGAGATGGGGCTCTCCTACCTCACAGCTCTTGTGCCTCTGGTCGTGCTTCTGGTCGTAAGCAGTACCAGATACCCCAGGGAGGAAAGCTGAAAAAAATCCTGGCCTGGACAACCCCTGTGTGGATCTGAACCCCACCTCCCATCTCAGCTGAATATCGAGGCTTTCTGCATATTCGCAGAGCTGAGACTAATGATGGCATCACTATGTTTCAGCTCTTTGAGAGGCGAAAGGATAACTCATTTCCTAGGCCAATCACTCACCAGTCTTTTTGCTCACAGCTGGGTCTAATGATGGTGATGAAGGGTTGGGGGATGGAGAGCTGGGAGCTGGTTATCGCTGAACTTGCTGCATACTGGCCACAGCACAACAATTGAGCATATTTTTTTGAGCTGGATATTTAGCTCCCATTAAATGGTTTCCAGTCTCCACTGATCATTGTCCAAAATGTCTTGTGGCTGCTCCCATCACTGACCACTGAAAGTTCTCGCATGGCACTATTTTCATTTCAAGTTTTTCACAATAAAATGGTCTTCCCCAGTCTCTCTGCATTGTTTTATAAGCCATTTGGTTTTAAGTAAGACACTTTTTGCCAGAAAAATAGCAAGACTTTGTCTGAATACAAATCCCATGCCCAACACTGCTGACATTTGCGCGCAGAGACGCGCTTTCCAGTTTATTCTATTGTGCTTTTTTTTTTTTTTTTTAATAGTTCAGTGGAAAGTTTGGATGGTTCCAGGCAAGTAGGCAAATATCCTTCAACAACGCAACAACAGAAATAGCCTGGAAAAAAAAAAAAAAAAAAAAAAGAAAAGAAACAGAAATATATCTCAGTGCTGCTAGGGGAATTATGGGTTGTTGGTTTCTTACTTTTGCTTTTTTTAATGATAAAAAAAAAAAAAGGCAAAATTTGTAATGATGATAAGAAACTAAATTTGCAGCAGAGTTAGCAGCTGTGCTCTTCTCCACTTGAGTACATGAAAGAAAGTGACAACTTCTGTTATTTCAGTCACGTGTCTTTAAATTTAGAGCCTGACAATCAGGACTAGTGCATGGCACCTGGTGCAGCAGGTACTGAAGACTGTGGATCCATTAGTCACAGCATGTTGAAACAGCTGGGCTTCTGAGCCCTTACAGATCCAGGGGTCTGAGAACCCAAGAGCATTTAAAAATCTGAACATCTCTGTCGATCTAAATTTCTGCAAGCAAACTAATTGCCAAGTTGTTACCTGACCAAACAGGGTTTGCTCCAGAACGTCCCCAGGTAAAGGCGTGGAGCACTAATCTATGGCGCCATCTAGCTCCCACAAAAGGAATATTTGGAATAGCTCTTTTTTCCTTACCATTACGACTCAAACTTTTTCTGATCTTTTGCACAGAAACACGAAAGATGATAACGAGTAAAAATGTTTGTTATTGTTCTCACTTCTTGGCCTTATGGGAGCAAAGAAAACTGGAGTACGACAAATAGGCCTCGCTTGCCTTCTGCTTACAGGGGCTTGAAAAAACCCAAAGTTCCTCCCTGTATCTCTTCGAGGATCTTTCTTTCTTTCTTTCTCTTTCCAGGACAGGCAAGTGGCTTGACCCAACCATATGCAGAAAACCACCATAGGTACATAAGGCTCCTCTCACTCTTTCTTCCACAAGCATCTCTTTTGTGCTCTGTCTTTGCATCACAGCTCTGGCCCACCTGATCCACTACCCAGTGAAGGGCAAAGGCCAGTGCTAGTTGTTCCAGAGGAAGTGCAAGGAAGCTGATAGTCTGAGAGCAAATACAAAAATCTGTGCAACAGAGCTTTGATTTCTACTAATTACCTGTAACACGTGGAGCATACATAACCTACTTTATTTCCAGTGATATTCACCATGGTGAAGCAAAACATTTTCCAACCAAATGGTACAAATAATTGGCAGATTTGAGATATAGAAGAAGTCAGGTTCATATCATGTGAGAAAACAAAATCTGGAAGCTGTCTGTTTCTGCTGTCTGAGCATTCGAAAATCCTTCATTCCCCATGCTCTCAGCCTTCTGTGGTTGCTAAATAGGAAGACCTCAACAGCTTTCAGCAGAAATTATGAGACATGGGGATTCCAAACCAGAGAGAATGGAAGCTGAAACTGCACAGGTCAGGAAATACTTGAAAGCAGGCAGACAACAACAGTACAATCCCAGGTAATACGTGTGTAAAACAAGTGAAAGATCAAATTTAAAACTCCAGCTAGCCTGCAGGACATTTGCCAACATGCAAGTTAGGCTCCAGTGATGTATGGAATATATTTGCTCTGAGTCTACGCTCTGCTGTATGCCAGAAGCTTTTAAACCATCTTTACAAATATGTTCCCATCTTTTGCCAACTGAATATACAGTCTTTTTCCCTCACGTTGGTATCTCCAGTTCTCCTTACTAACTTCATAATTTCTGTGGCTGTAACTGCTCTCATACATACTCAAATATTTTTGTGAAATGCAACAAACTTAACTGTTCTCTTTTAGAAAAAAAAAGAAAAAGCATTATTTGCATTATTTTCACATACCTTACACACACACACACACACAAAAGTTATTTTAAAAAGCTTCATGGATTGGCAGCCATTCAGTTCTACTGGTTTTTTCTTCAATTGTTTCTCTACCCTCTTCTGTCTCCACTCATCTGATGTGACCCTTTCTCCTGCCACATATCTGCCATGCTTTGTTTCTTCAGCAGTAGTGACTTTCATAAACTTGGCCTAATTTCTCTGCTGTAACCCTTTTAACGTTATACATAACTCCTTTACATTTTCCTAGGTCTTACAAGACAACTCTTTTTCTGCAACTACTCTCCTGTAGACATGGATTTTTCTAGCTGTGGCTTTTCCTCCAAGTTTCAGTTGTATTCTGAAATGCAGATTTTCATGCGTTCTAAACAGACATTCTCAATCCATATTATTCCAGTCTATTCCCAGACTAAAAAGCAGTCTAATGTCAGAATGTTGATAAAGATGGCAATGTTGCCAGCCCTAATATTGCCCTAATATTCTTTTGATCTTCCTCTATACCCTCTCCTCATTGTTCCTCATCCTATATATAGTATAAAAAAAAAAAACTGTGTTATGTGAAATGCAGGCTGTTCACTGTGTTTTTAAGTAATGACTTGATAGCACAGGTCAAGGATGAAAGAGCATGAACCACAAGCATCTCAATCTTCATTCAGATTTTAGCTTGTGTCATAGCAGGAAGAAATTTAATACTATAGGCTACCTAGCTCAGCTACAGGATGTTGATTCCATATGGAATACCAGATTCAAGAAGAATGGATAAGTGGGTTTATCACATTCTGTTGATCACATTTACTTCAAGCAAGTACTTTCCTAGTGCTTGTCAATGTTTAGATTCTAGTGTTTGCCAAAACCACGTAGAGAGGATTCCTCCTCTTCTGAGAATTTCAGCTGTACACAAAGTAAAAAGTAAAATTAAAAACAATGTCTTTTGCTAAGGAATGCAGGAAATGTGTTGCATTTTCACTGCAACCACATGAAAGCAGAACTGCTGTGGAAATAAAATAGTTCCAAATACAATGAACTTGCTGACTCAGTTGATCCAGATGAAAAAAAATACAAGTCAGCAATTTAAGCAACAGCAGTACCCACTGTACTGTATCTGCAATACTGATGTAATGTGCATTGCAACATCATATTTCCCTGAATATAGCACTTGTGAGTTTGATGAGCTACAGCTTTTAGAAGCAGCTTTGGATTCGCTGCAAATTACATAAGAGAGTTTTCCTTTACAGCTTAGACTGTTAGATGTTGGACCCACCCAACTCCTTAAGGAACAGGACTTTAAAAGCAAACAATTTACTCCAGCTTTTTTCTGACCTTAATCTGAAGCACATATCAAACTTGAGATAAGCATAGATCTTGCCAATTCTCCTAATGTACCCAGAATTATTGCCATTACAGCATTTTCTATTCAGAACAGCTTATGCAAATCATTTCTCATTGTCATATGCAAATCATTTAATCCATTTTTGCTCTTTGATAGTTTTTACGAGCAACTTATAGGCAAAATATTGTAATAAAAGTGGGCACATCTTCAAGCCATTTCAAATTTTTAGTGTAATTTTCTACTTTAAAACTGCCATTAGAAATTAATAGCAGCTGTCTCTAATACAGCAGAGATCTATTCCAAGTGGAAAAGCCATCTAGAATTTATGATTTTAAAAATTCATAGGAACTGGTACTCTACATCTATGTTAGGTGAGAGAACAAAGTGACAAAGCACGTGGAATGGGATATGAATCAGCCTGGAGACTGGTTAAAGATTCTTTGTTTCAACCGCTATAACTTCAGGATAACACAGGAAACAGCTACCTTCATCATTTTTAAATAGTGGAAGTTGAGTTCAGAAAGCGTTCAATGCATGGAAGCATCTCTGTGAGGAGCAAGAGAATACCAAGAAGGCCAGTAACAGCAGATTACATTCTAAGATACAAGAAAGACAGCAAGTGAACAATTAAGGAAGGCAGAAATAGCAAAAGCTTCTACTTTTATCTGGTTTATGTGCCTGTCTTTTTCTTCCTTATTCATTTTATTTATTTATTTGTTTCGTAGGGAGATTGTAAAGTAGCTGAACACGTCTGGTCTATGTAAGGACAACAGATGAACAGAGAATTGTGGAATAGCACCTGCCTTAGAATATTATATTTCTGCATCCCTGAAGATACACACACCTCTATTTGGAAACTCAGTGAACAGGAAGCATGACATTATATAACTGACTTACAGGCATTATTAATATAACCTATTTTAAGGAAGATAACTTTATTTTAAATGTGAGTAAAATAATAGAGAACTTTTTCTCTCTTGCACATTATGCATAGCGACTGCAAAGTATGATGGATTCTTAAAGGGTGGTCAGGCACTGGAATGGACTGCCAAGGGAGGTGGTGGAGTCACTGACCCTAGGGGTGTTCAAGGAAAGGCTGGATGTTGTGTTGAGGGACATGGTTCTATTGGGAATAGTTGAACGGTTGGACTGGATGATCTTTTAGGTATTTTCCAACCTTGGTGATTCTATGATACTATGATTCTATGATTCTTAGGATTCTTTGTTTTTTTTTCCCTCCCTGCATTTCATTCATGAGAAGTTCACACCTTGTTTGTTCCGCTGACAAAAGTCACAGAATAAGATTACATTTATTCAACACCACCAAATTCCCAAGGCTCCAAAGGTTTTTTGTGCTCTCATGAAGTGGGACGCTTTTGAAAAATCTTGCATTACACTTCACTGTTCTTCTGCTAAACTTAGCTGCTCATTGCTCACTGCCACTGATGTTCTCTATTGTAGTAATTGATTCTGTTCATTTAAAGCCTACCGTAGTCCTCCCATGTTACACAGTACATTTTCCAGTCATTAAGATATACAGAAGTGTAACTGAGAACTAGATCATGCAAGACAAATATTTCCCCATAGTATCAGAAAACTGGCAGTGTTCTGCTAATACTTGACAAGACAAGAAGGAGCAATGCACGTTGAAAAAGAATGCCACATAATATCCAAATCCATTTTTAAGAATAGTTCTACTTATGCTAGCATAGTGCCTCTCGCCTTTGTTTTCCAGGAAAACTACCACGAATACGTAACTAGTCTGATTACGCTCATTGAAAGTGAACTTTTACAATAGTGCCTACTCTCTCTGAGGAATATTTCTGGGTACTAGACACTAACATTTTGCTTCTCTATTAAGAGTTCAGAAACACGCCAGGAGAGTCATGACTGTAGCTGGCAAAACTGCACACCGAGTTGTTGCAGGATATCACACGTGAACAGCTGACAGACCAAGGATTACGCGCAGAGGCTATGTGGCCATGCACTTTGACTCAGGACGCCTGTGGTCTCTGCAAAGGGAATGAAGCCATCGTCAGAAAAAGATGAGAATCAGCAGCAGAATTACTCACGGTCGAGGAGTTCTGCAGCTACAGTTATGATTTATACGCTGTTCTTTATATAGCTTGACTAGTTACTCCCCCTCACTTTCACTGAAGAAAACATCACCAAGCAAGTGGTTTTCAGTAATAGTGATTACTATTGTTTCTGATACAGATATTTTCCTTTGTAAGCTAAGAAAAAAACTGTGCTCAAACTGTGTTTCTCTCAAAATACTGAAGACAAACTTAAAATGTCCCACTGTTCTAGTTCTTTGCATGACTGTGACCTTGTCTTCGAGCCCTGAAATACTCAGTAATTCAAGCTAGAAGTAGCTCCAAGAGAAAAAATAAAGACCAAAACAAGAATACATTAATTCAAGTGACATTTAGGTCAGTACAATCTTTGCTTCACTCAGAAGAAACCAATTTAAAGTCCAAGAAAGCAATAAACTTGAGTGGCAAAAGGCAGCTCCAAGCTAGCTCCCTGAAAGGAAAGAGAAATCTTTGCACTATAGTTCTTCTTTCTTCTCATTTCAAGAAATAGATGAAGGACAGAGACACTTGTAAAATTATTATTTATTTTTCACACTGTAGGTACCATCATCTGATGTTGCAGCATTGTCACCACTAGCACTTTTTTTGTTCTTGCTCCTGTCCTTAAATGGCCTAAGTGAGTTATCTTCTGCTATTGAGTGACCACATATAATTTACATAGATCACAACTTTGCACCTGAAACTCATTTTCATAAGCAAAATCAGGAAGCTGCTAACTTACATTTTGCTTTGTTTCTTCACAGGTTAATTTGCCTTAACTGGAGACAGCTCACCCATCCTGATATGGTACCTGCATGAATAGAAGAAAAGTAATGAAAGAATTCCTGTGGTTTGGGTCAGTAAATAAAACAGAAAGTCTTTCTGGCGGTTGTGGTTTCTGCACTTAACAATGTGCTGTCTATCCTTGCTATTACAGATCTTAGTTGAGTCTTATATAAACTAAACTCTATTCCTCAAAGGTACGTATACATACTTTCCTTCAGTTAAATGGTTGTGAAGATGGTGGAATTCACAGAACATTTTGGCGTGTAACCAAAACATGTGGCGTTATGTCCAAAGAAGATCTGGCCAGGTACTGTAATTAGATTGCGGATTTTGAGCTGTCACACGCAATTATTTCTGGCAGTGCATTTGTACAATATGTACACCTGTAACTTTCTGCATTCCTAAATGGTTGGAAGCATTCAGAAACTCCTTTCAGCAGAGATTGTTTCTGAGAGATCTCCTGGTGAGAGAACAGCTGAAGACTATGGGAATGACCATGAAAGTGTGGCATGAATATTTGCATTTTGGATTCCTGGAACAAAACCCATTTCACTGGGAGTTCAAACCATTGCAAATCTCACCTGAATTATTTCTACTGGTTGTTTCCTTAGAATGACTGGTCAATTTTATTTTCATTCTAGTTAATTATTCCCAGACAACTGAGATTTTTATTCAGAATGATAGATGAATGTACAAACAGGAACTCCTGTTCTTTTTCTTGCAAAATCAGTCAGTAGTCACCAAACATGACACTGCAAACCTACTCATAAAGGGTATGTAAAGTAAAGCTTTGAGCAGATTTTCCTACTACAGTGAAGCAAAGTCTCAGTTTTCTGTGTGCTAGAATTCTAATATGGTAAAAATAAAGACACTGAATAAAATGTCTACATAAGCTAATTTTGCAGAAATAGGCAAGAGATATTGAAGAAAGTGAGAAGAAAGCAAACGGATTCTTAAGAAAATTTTAAATGCAACAGCTAAAGTTACACAAGTGCAGTGGAATTCCTTTGAGTATGGATATTTGAAGCAACGTGCTCCTTCAAAAAATTAGAGACTCATGTAGAAAGCATGCAGCGATAGAAAGGCATTCAGTGTCTAGAGGTAAAACTGGAAAAAGAAAATTATTAATGGAAATTTAATGGTCTTTCAGAGTCCAGGAGAACGTCAGCAAGTTTCCATACATTACAAAACCTCAATGTCTGTAGAAGGGCTAAATTGTAATATTCATACACTTGTTGCATAATAGCAGCCAGTAACACCCACAGTCCAGTATTATCAAGGACAGGGAAATTAAAGTTTACATCAAAGAAATTAAAACCCTACATTTTAAATCTTCGTCTTAAGATTTAGTTTCCTTAATGCATATTTAAGCACTTTAAAAACAACAGCCTGGGCTTTAAACCTCCAAATACCTATATCTCCCAGTGACCTTGCCTGGACTTGGATGTACTAAACAATTAGAAAGTGAAGTTGATGAAGACACCCAGACATTGATCTGATGTTAAAGTTTAATGAAGTTCTACTTCTTGAACTAGCAGAACCAACATTTTAATAAAAATTAAAATTAAAATTTAAAAAAAAAAAAAAAAAAACAGGAAAAAAAGAGAGAGAGAGACAGGAAGGCCAGATTCCACCGAACCAAGGTTTGCATTTCATGATTGTAGTCACCAACTATCCTTCCAATGAATGAATCGTTGATATGCTAGAGATTGCCATCCATTGAAAACTTTGTAAAGACAAACATTTTATTCTTTGAAAAAGAAGTGATGAAAAATGAAACTGCTCTTCTTAGTGCAGAAAAGAAAAAAAAAATCTACATCAAAAATGTTGGAAACAATTCAAACAAAGAATGCATTATGCTGAGGGACATGAATCAATGTACATTCTGCAAAAAAAAAATACTTAGATAATAGAAGACGCTATGGGATTCTGACAATTGAGCCTTTGTTTCCAAAGCAAGAAAAATCAACTAGGATTTACATTTTTGAATGGGTTTGTTTGATCTGAGTGCAGGGGCAATGACTGTCATCAAGAATACATGAGACCTCTAATATTAGCTGACAGGTTTTAGTCCTAGATAAGATTTCTAACCAAAAGAACAGCATCAAATCACAAAATTGAAATGCAAAATAATTAGATTGATCTACAAAATACCTATGTATATGTTTAATTCAGAGGACGTGTTCAGCTTTGCTAAACACTTCACTAGGTTACATCTTATTTCAAATGTAAATATGTCAATGTTACTAATATTTCTCCTAAGGAAGACTAGAAAGCAGGGAAGATAAAAAGTCTTACTCAAAGACAATATGTCATATTTCATCTTCTTAGTAAAGTCTTCATGATATTGTAGGAAGTTCTTACTCTATTGCACTGAACCCCAGCTCTACTAGCACTACCTATTCAAAGTTTTATGGCTGCAGTTCTACCTTTTCCTTATCTTTTCCAAAGATGAATCCTTATGTGTCACTCCCACTTCTCTGCTTCAAACAGAGCACAAACACCATAAAAAGTAGTTGATTGTCTCAATCCTGGAAACCTGGAACAGGTTAAAATGTACACAGCAGGACTGGAGGCAATCAGATACTGCAAAATCTGAGGCCCAGACTTAGGAAAACATTTAAACTAATGATGGCTTTAAGAATGCTAAGATTAGGTATATCTAGAAGTATTGCTTTCATGAATAGCAACACAATGGGGCAACTGAGACTGAGGTCTGCTAAGTGCTGACAGTAGCACTGAATATTTGCCTCTTGCTGATTTACTGTACCAGGTTTTTTTACAGCTGCTATCGTCAGAAAAATTTCAGCAAACCTTAAAAGTTTCAGAATTACAAATCAGGTTTGGGTAGGAATTCAGACCTTGCTACAACAAATAATTTCAAATCTCTGGTTTATAAATCATGGATTTCCTTCTGTTAGCAGTTCACGAGATCTGAAGAGCTTTCTGAATTTAAGGTGATGGGGTTGGAAATTGGAGGGTAGATATCCATCTACCCTACTCGGAGACTGTATTTTTGACAAATAAAGGTTTGCACTACACATAGCTTCTGGGTTTTTCACTTCCAATTTCTTGAGTGAGAAGCAGCTGTGAGCAGAAATCATATATTAACATATTAACAGAAAGCCTATTAACAAAGCTCTGGCTGCACACAGAGTACAGAAATGAGCCAGGCACCTCCATGCTGGGTAGAAGTTTGCCTCTGCTCTACATTCATGTGAAAAACCGACATCTTCTCATGGGAGAATACAGGAAACTAATGAACCAAAGCACCAACTTTTTTGTTACTGTTGAGCTTCTGCTCACAAACGTTCTGCATCTGCCCTCCAGAGAACTCAAATGGTCAGCAGAGTAAGGCAGCAATCCTGGCCCTGTCCTTTTTCTGCTGTGTCACAAGAAGCAACTACACCTATGATAACAACATGGACTTCCTTAGGCCTACAAGCAGAAGAGTGAAGGGAAAGAGCTCTAATTCAGAGATGCCCTGCTTTCTTCACAACAAAGGTAAAACACTCATCAGACAAACTGGGAAATCTTGCAGGCTGGCGCTGCTGAACTGAGCTGGCTACTTTGGGTTCCACAGGGCTGATCTGATCAAATTGAGGAATATTATATTTGCAGGGGGAAGGGGGTGGAGATACAGTCTGCATTTAAAACTTTTGCCAACATCAGCAGCTTGAGCGAGAGGATGCAGTTTTGGTAGGTGTAACTATAACAGTAAAATTCCTGTGTACCTCAGGCACTGAAATCTAACTGCTGTTATATAGTGTTACTGGTCCAAACACTTTTCTTTAAGGGGTAGTTTTGTTTCCCAGTCTTACTGGTTTATAGTAATGCTGACAAACTTCAGAGAGAGAGACGATCCATTCTGAAGCGAAACAAAGAAATAAAACTATATTCAGAGGTGAGTGTTCTTACACAGACGGATCAATTTTGGTCTTTCTTGGGCTGAAAAAAAGGAAAACTATCTACTGGATCTTCAGCTAAATGTGTCCTCCCCCCTTCGTCCCAGCCTTTTTTCTGGAAACCATGCACTCACCAAAAGAAGCTGCAGAGGCAACATGCTAACATTTGTTTACTGTGGATCTCCCTTTGAAGAGTGATTACAACAACATCATTCTACATATCCGGAGGGTGGATTTCTTATCTCCCTGAAAGAGAAGGAGAACAATCACATATTTGATAAGTTCAAACAAAAGCGCACACAATTATAGGAAGTGAAATGTTTGCTGAAAGAGGGCAGTTTATACAAAACTCATTTTTATAACGTCGTATATGTATTTATTTCATGACAGCTTTCAAGATCAGCTTTCCATAACTCCGCAGTATCTCTGTTTTGTGGAGTCTTTTCCATTTGAAAATTGACACTCAAGGGGAAACATTCTCAGAACAGAGTTGTTACAAGAACTACTGAGCGGCTTTCACTGCCACCCACCCTGCACTCCAAGGGAATGAGGCATACATAAATCCATATAAGCTGCCTTTCCACCTGCAGGAACAGCTGTGAGAGGTGTGTGTCAGGAGGGGCACTCAATTCCATGGCAGCTCCCGCATGGATCTGTAGTTCTGTAGGGAGGCTCTGCTTCTCCCAGGTTCCTGCTCTGCCCTCCTCTACTGCCCCATAGCCGCAAGTGTGGCAAAGAGTAAAAGTTCCAGGCAGTCCATTGTGTTCTGGAGGCTGAATTCTCCTGATGGGTCTCTTCTTCATGAGGTCATCAGCTGTAAGATCAGATCAGTGTCTCTCACATTCTAAAATGACACTTGATGTGTAATTTATTACATCTGTAAAGCTCTTTATATCCTTAGAAATAAGGCAAGACGGAAGTAAATGATAAATCAGCCATTCACATATATGAATATAGAATCATAAAGGTTTGAAAAGACCACTATGTTCATCTAGTCTGTTGACCCATCACCAGCATGAGCACTAAAACATATCCCTATGCAACAGGAAATTGTGAAGTGAGCAGTGAATGCAGGTGTAGAGCACCAGCAGTGAAAAATGGGAACATTTTTCTTGAAAGCCAGACATGACGTGCAGAACAACAGAAAAGCAGATTGAGCAGATGCTTCATCTGTTTGGATCAACACTCAAACTGTCAAGTATTGGAAAAAAGATCAAAATGAAAACTTCAGGCCACTAAATTTCCAGAAAAGACTGCTGTTATTTGCCATCTCTGAGCAGGTCAGAGAAGTATAAAACTTTTACAGCTGAAAGCGTTGAATAAGTATTAAATAGACCAATATAGATCTCATACAGACTCCACTTAATGTTTCTTTTGGAAAACTTGATAAAGCATATAATATCTAAAAACATTAAATATAATGAGAAAAATGTTGGAACTTTTTGGAACCAGTAAACTTTTTGCAAAGGTCAGCCTTTCAGCTGTTATATTTGAACCAAATGAGACTTAATTTGACTGTTAATTCTATCACCCAACTGTCAGAAAAACCTATGAAGTGTTCCGAATTTATTTTTCAAGGCAGTTCTCCAGCCTGAAAACGCAGATTCCAGAGTGTGTAAGAAACATTTTCAGGACCAAATTGTGACATTTATATACAAATAATGCTAATAAAGTCAGAGATATGCATAATTAGTGCATCTTAGTACCACATTTATAACACTGTCACAGTTTAGGAGAGTACAGCTAAATGTATTCGGAATGAAGAATAAGCTAACTACCTAGGGCTTACTTGGACCTGTATAACTGTAGATCTGCAGTGAAGGTTTGCTGCACTTGGTACACAGCAAAGAAAAAGGCTGATAACTTCAACTGTTCAGTAAACACAAAAAGAATGTGTACCGCAACCTTTGCTCAGCGCTCAATATCACTGCCCTCTTATTTCTCTGGAGGACTTAGGCCCTTTCAGACTGAACACTAGCCCTATGTCCTGTCCAACACATAATGCATAGGAGATGGTGAAGTTAACCTGAGGATCCTGGCCAGCTTCTCTATCAGGAAATAACTCTGTAATATTGTCTCCTGAAATGTTCCCCATGCTTTCTGATGTTCTATTCTGTCAGCCTTTTGCTGCCCCAGGAAAAAACAGGGCTGCTGTTTCATGTAAAGGTATCTTATGTATATAAATCTTTTGTATCATTTATAATGAAGGACTTACACAATAAGACCCAATATACATGTTATCGTTTTGCTGCTGTAAAGGAATAGCGCAGAGAAAAGTTTTATTGATAAAAACCTCAGCAAAACTAGTATATATTTAAAATAAGGCTTCCAATCTTGCAAGTGCTGCTTACTTAAAAGTGTAACTACACATAGGTTTACATAGTGAATATATGCTTAGAACAAAGCGTGCAAGAAGAGTTTGAAAGTGTATTAAGATTTCTGTAAATAGAAATAGGAATTGCCTCCTTCCTACTTGGAAATATAAAGCATTCATTACAATCTGTGTTCACCATTCACAGCATTGGTGGGCGAATTACCTTAGTATTACATCACAGGAAAATAATAGATTTTAGCAGCTTTGTGATTGACTGTAAAGATTCACATGCACAAGAAAAATGTCCTCACACGTCCATGGAAGACTCAAAAAGTGAAGATATATGTTGCATTTTAAGGCAATTCTTTTTTAAGTCAAGCACATCTATCTGAAACAGAGGTACCTTTCTTTACTAATTTATGCGGCGTGACTGGGAAAATAGTGCACAGAAATGTATTTTCCTTCCTGTACACTTACATTGATTTTTGTCTCTCAGCATACATAGGTCCAAACAATATTTTCACTTTCAAGTGTTCAAAGTTAATTATTTATGTTTGGTTTCCCGTAAATAAGTAAAGATACTTCTGCTTTTCCCAGAAAGGATAAAAAATTATCTGTGGTTAACTTCTGATATGCAAGACTGCAATCCCCCTCTGCAGGCAAATGTATCAATTACTTCTACAATATTTAGTTGAATGGAGTTTTGAAGAGAACAGAAGCCAACAAACTCACCCAGAAATTACATATACTCTTTTATTCCTTAGAAAGGTTTCCAGCAACAGGAGCTTAGCATTGAAGAGGCAGTTAGAAAAAATTAAGGGACAGAAAGTGTCATCTGGTAAACACCCAAGTAAAAGCAAAAGCAGAGACACAAACATGAAAGGGATCACAGATATCCTACTATTTATGATGTGATAGTAAAGTGTAAAGTGTACCGGGATCTTAAAGCAATACATGTTAATTACCCACAGCAGATCTGTGATGTTATAAAAGTAATTGCTATGAACTTTTCTATATTGCTGATAACTACACTTATCACAGCTTGGTTTGTTTGTTTTAAATTGCAACAGGAACAGGAACTTGCAACAATATAATTCTGTAGGAATATATCCATTTTTTAAAGTATAAAACATTGGAATATATCCAATAAGCCTTTAGCTCTGCTCAACAAAAGCAAAAGCAATCTTGCCAGGGCAAAAGTCCACAAATGTACGTGTTCTACAATGCTACCAGAAAAGTTTTTCATCTAAGCCTCCAGAATAGCAAGAATGAGCTGATAGTCCATCATCAAAAGCAGTTAAGCCAGTAAAATGCAGATAAAAACAAATCACAAGCATTGTTTTTGTGCTTATAAGCCAGCTCTCAGCTGCAGAGGTGAGAATAACCACTTAAGAATTTCTATACTCCAGACAGGCAAAAATTTCTGCTGTGCACCAATGAGTACCCAAAGCATACCCTTGTTCCCCATGTGCTCAGGAGTAGGCCGAAAACCCTTCCATCCCTGCAGGAGTTTTAGTTTGGAGGTGGTTAAAATCTGTCTGGCTCCAAAGACTTACCAATTTTTCCTAACATAACAAACTCCTGAACATATGCAAAAATCAGGGTGTCAATAATAAAAAGTCTTATCGTGCTTTCCAGAGAGCACTGAAATACAGAGTTGATAGGCTTCAATATTATGCAAATAAAGAATGGCCCAGGGGAATGAAAATGAAAGCTTTGGAAAACAACAATAGTTTAGAAAGTAAAGTGAGCTATTAATTTCAAGGTAAAACTTCACCGTTAACTGTTGTCCATTATCTATCAGATAGTCCTGTGACCACCTATCTAGCAATCCTACAGTAAAGACAAAATGCATTTCTATTACTGCTAGGTTTCTACAGAGGCATTTTAAGAATTCTGTGGATGACTTGAGAAACCTGGGCTTTTTTTCATTATCTGGCAGCTATTACTTCATCACATCCAACATACATGTTTCAGAAGGGTAGAAGAAGTAACAAAAATGGATTTGGGAAATACCTTAAAAAAAAAAAAAAGAGAGAGAGAGAGAAGAAGCATATGCTAGCATTAACACATTGGTACATCCTAGTTAGACTAAAAAAAATGGTACAGGAGTTATATTTAAAACTTCTCACTGAAGAAAAAGAAAAAGCAAATCAACTTTAGTTATTCTACAGGCAGGAGTGCCATGCACTTCTGAGTTTAAACCTCAACATAGAAGCATAGAACTTTTAGCTGTACAAGGAGCAGATATCAAAAGATCTTTGTGTGCAGAGCTACATAAATTGAAATCAAACACAGAACCAGTGTCTTCAATGTTGGCTTAAACAAGACAAGTTTGTGACAGTTCAGCCTGAGAAAGTCTAGGTGACCCAGTTTCAAACAAAACAATTTATGGGAATAAGGAAAATACAACAGATATCCAGCGCTGACGGACAAACAACCACATCCAGAAGGAAGGATTCCCCAAACCTTTCTGCCCAGTCCTGCCACACAAGCAGTTCTACTAACCAGAAAAGGACATCACATTCTTCTTCGCGCATGCAATTAAATTGTATGAATCTAAGGAGAGAGTATTGCTTTTAAACAATGAAGTCAGCCAATAAATCTTTCTGTTGTCTAATGCTTCTAGGACTGTAACCTCAGTTCATGCCTCTAAATAAGTGAGGATGTTAATCATGGACTCCTGAGAGGTTTAGAGCCAATAAAAGTCCTTCCACGGGGTAATTCTGCCGATTTCACTCACATTACTTTTAGCTTACTCTGGTTTGAGAGGAATACCCCCTACAACCATCAATGTGAACAGCAATCTGCTTATGGACTCTCAAACACTTGCTGGCCCCTAGCCACAACCACAAGTAACACAAGTCTCAGAGGCAAACACAGCTCCTCCTCTTCTGCCA